TTATATTATAAATATTATATAATAAATATAAATAAATATAATTTTATATACATGGCTATTGCATTGAATGAATGAATGAATGCAGAGGGTAACTAACATAGTGGATTAGAGCAAGACCCTGGGAGACCTCTGTGTATTCATTCATTCATTCCTACACTCAGTAAATAAGTACCAAGGACTTGTGGGTACCAGACAATTTCCTGGGCGCTGGGGGCATAATGAAAACAAGGCTGTTTTCTGGTTCCATGCCTGGGGAGAGAGGAAGACAAGCGAACAGTCACTGCCAGGCAGTGGAGAGAGGGCAGGACTGCGAGGTCAGCGCTGCGAGGCCATCCCTCCACGTGGGGTCTATGACCAGCCCCACGGGACCTGCCACGGCATTTTTCAGGCTCCGAAGCACTGAGCCACAGACTGTCTGAGTCGAGATGGTCACGTGATTCTCCCAGTTCGGTTTTGACCTGTTTCAGTTGTTTTATGAACCACCATCCCCATTTTTACTGTCTCTGCTTACCACCCACTGGAATTTAATATTTTTTCTTTACACAACTCACTAAGCTCTAAAAAATGTGTGTACTATGAAACTGTACCACTACCAGGAATGGGAGACCAACTTCATGTTAACATACATTCGTTGTAAACAGAACAGTGTTATTAAAGTCTGAGGAGATAACATTGCTGCAGTGGGTTCTGACTAAGAGCCACTCTCCCTCCACCCCTTCTCCTTTTAGTTTTTGCCGTAGGGTGTGTGCACTCATCAGAGAAAGAAAGGAGGGGTGAGAAATTATACCCGGGGGAACAGCCATGCCACAATCCCTCCTCCTCCACTCTCCACTCGGGATTTTGTGCCCACGGTGATGTTTTTTTAGGCCATCAAGTCCAGGATTTGAACCACCTAAGTTGACCATGTGGGAGCCAGCACCTCTGTGCCACCTGCTGGCCCAAGACTCACTCTTGTTATTTAAAAGGGATGTTGGGGGAGCCAACAGATAGCATGGTGGCTAAAGTGCTGGACTAACATGGACGACCAGAGTTCGAGCCCTGGACCTGGTGGTTTGAGAATCACATCGAGTGTGCATTCATGTGTTCCTAAAATCCTGAGAGGAGAATGGAGAACGGATTGTGATGTGGCCATTCCCTGGGGGGTGATTTCCCTCTCTCTGTTTCCTCTCTCTCTCTCTCTCTCTCTCTCTCTCTCTAGTGAGCACATGCACCATATAGCAGAAAACAAAACAAAATTTAAAATAAAAGGGAAGTTAGAGCCAGCTGCAGGAGCACAGGCTGCGGGGGTGCTTCTGGGTAAGGTCGGAAGTCATCGAGTTCCTGTGGGTTTGCATCCCAGGGGGAACCCGAACGAGCCAGGTATAACACTGTACCTGGAATCCTGCTGGCCCCAGGGCAGGGGAGGGGATCACCGTGTGAAGGGTGTGCCCCCTCTTTCAACAGCAAAATTAATTGATTAATTAAACTAAAGGGAATTCGTAAATGTTATGAGCCATTGGAAACATTTAGGCACTGAGTTGATTCTTTCTGTCTGACTCCGGAGAATTAAAAAGAAGGACATATTCTCGGTGCGTAAGTTCTTCAGACGTCGGGCCGGCGTGTTAATGCAAGGTAGGAGCTGGTGTGCTGGCGTGACATGGCCGGTGTGCAGTGACCACCTAACCTCATCTCGGGAGCCGCACGGTGTCCACACTCTGACAAACCCTGGGGAGTCCCGGCCCCTCCCTGCACAGGGCACTGTGTCCCCATGGGAGTGGGGGTGGGAGTCCGTGTAGACTAAAGGACAGGCCGGAGCCCCTGGAGGACCTCTCTCTGCTGTCCTCTGTGGGGTCCCCATCCCTTCCACTGATCCCGCACTTCACTAACAGTAGCCTGCCGTGGCTCCACTGTCACATCCTCCCTCTCGGGCCCACCTGCGACTTCCAGACCAGCCCTGTCCGGGTGCCCCCTTCTGTG